GGTGGGGTTCCAAGAGCTATACTAAGATGTTTCTGCTTTTGTCAGAGGAATATTCTACCCTACAAACTGCCAGCCTGGCACAAACCCAGGGGTGGCCAAAGTGTCCCAACAGGCAGTAAAGCAGCCTGCGAAGGGCCACGTGTGTAAGTGGGTATAATATAAAAGGTATTGCCTATCATTATTTATTTTACCAACTTAGATGTTTTGGTGTGAGTTTTTGGTTTAAACAGTGGGTGTTCAGACAGTGTATACAAAAGGAGGCTGGGTGGGCAAGGGAAGTTCTGAAGATTTTTACAAGTTTTTTAAATACCGCACACATCTGCCAAGGGTGACAGTGGCCGACCTGGAAACACCTCTTGGTCTTGTTCTCTGGTGAGTTGTGTCTAGGCTCCTCTGCCACACATGCTGGCTTTCCCAGCCAACCCCTTACCCCAAGACGCTCCCCATCCTCTCAACGCTCCCAGAGGCTAAGGAGCTGGAAACCACGGGGTCTCCTTTTTTGTTTAAAGTCCTAAGATTCTCCTTCAGGAAAAGCAGGTCAGACTGGGCTGGGAACAGATGCACCAGAGCCCTCCCTGCTGTCTCCCCTTCCCCTTAGCCTCCCTGACTTGAGTCTATAAAGCAGCTATTGAGTCCAATCCAATTATGCTAGAGACAGGGAAACTGAGTCCCAGAAAGGCTTGAAGGCTGGCCTGGGGTTGAGCTGAGGCTTGGCTGTACACCTGAGTTGTCCCAGCTCAGGGGCAGCTGTCTCCTGACCTGGTTGTCCCAGCTGATTCATCTGCACCCTGGCATGTTGGACCCCCTGGGAGACCCTGGGCTTTGGCCTGTGGCCAGAGTCCTGTGTGTGTGTGTGTGTGTGTGTGTGTGTGTGTGTGTGTGTGTGTGCGTGTGCATGCGCATGTACACTTGCTCCTTAGAGAGTTCTTCAGCCCTCATTGGACGGCTCTGCGATGCGAGGGTCAGTCTGTGGAGGTCTGTGAACCCTGCATGCACCAAAAGGCCTTGGAAGCCACTTCCAGGCTGGATGTTTGAATCTCTGGGAGGAAAATCCTCGAAGACTGCATCCGTTGTGGCGCTCTGTGCATGCCACTGAGAGGCCCCCAAGCAGCTGTCCATCCTCCCACGCCTCCATCCATCGCTGCCATGTCACTTAAAGCAGTGCTGTTTGACTTAGCTTCCAACAATGCTCAACTTTGCGACAGTGACTGAGATCACACCCCACCCACTGCCAGCTCAGCTCTCCCATCCCGGGCCACCGGCACCTGGGGACCAGGTACCAATGGCTATGGACAGCACCTGTGTCCCGGAATCAGAAAGGTGTTCAGATTAACCAATCCCCGGGGCGCATGAGACACTGTGCTGACATCGCCCTGTGCTGTCCTGAGTCTGCCTCCACAGCTCCAGCTGGCTGTGACTGTCCCCACATGCAAAGCCCTTGCAGCCCACTTGGGAGCCCAGAGTCACGAAAGTTCTGTCCTCTCAGTAGGATGTGTCCCGCCACAAAAAGAATTTAGCTAAGTCTTATGAAATGATTATTTTCCCATTTATTTACACTTGTACTTCACTATTCCTCCATCTACTTATCCATCACCTCCCATCCATTCATCTCCCCACCCATCCATCTGTCCATCCATCCATTCATCTATCCACCCACTTACCCATCTACCCATCTACCCATTTTCCCATCCATACATCCATCCATCCCTCCATCCCTCCATCTCTCCCTCCCTCCACCTTTTCTTTCCATCCTCCCCTGAGCCAGCCATCCCCATCCATCCATCCTTCTTCTCCTCCATCCGTCCACTCACCCACATAGAGATACCCAAACTACCAGACAGTGTGCTGTCAGAATTGAGGGAATGAACACACTCATTCCAACCCTTCATCTATGGGCAGAGCCAGGCTTTGGAGTCATTTCAAGAGCCCCTAAGGATGCAGTAACAACTCACACTCTTCTCTGTTGGGATTAGCACATCTTTTACGATTTGTTTTTACCATGGGAAACCTGAGCTAAACCCTTCCTGCTGGGCATGGTGGCCCAGCCCAGGTCTCCGTTCTGTAGAAGCACTCGAGTGTTCATTCCCAGGTCTCCTCCTTGAAGCACTCGAGTGAGTTCTGTGCCAGGCTTCTCAAAGCACACAACAAGGCTTTTCTGCTGAATTTTCACAGCTAACAAAGCCATTATCCCCATTTTACAGATGAGGGAGCAGAGGTTGAGACAGGCTATTGGCCTAATCCATCCTCTGGCCACCTGCCTCCCATGAGCACCTCTCCATGGTACTTGACAGTCAGTTGAACAGTGTAATCTGTGGGGCTTTGTACAAAGTGAAGATGTGGGGCGCCTGCTCCAGCAAGCAAGAGAGAAGCTCGAGGAAAGCTACCACGCATTTGGGCTTTTCCTCCTTCTGTGCTGTCTCTTCAGGACCTGTTATTTATTTTTTTTCTTTTGTCTTGCGGCCCCTTCATGTTCTAAGCACAGAAAAGTTAAAATTTAAATTTCTATCATGAATTTTAGCATCTGTCTTCATGCTGTGTGATGCTGGTTTTAGATGGGAACACTATTGGGGACTCACTGTGTGGGGACTCACTGCAGGCACACAGTTCCTGGCTTGCAGCTGGTTCAGGCCTGTGCGTTTCTTCCTCATCAGGCAGGGAAATGCCGCAGAAACCGAGTGCCCTGGGCTTCTCTCCCTTCGAGGTCACAGACTCTACCTCTCTGTGCTCTTGCAGAGGTCGGAGAGGGAGGAGATGGGGGAGAAAAGGAGGAAAGGGGATGGGAAGGCAAAGGAGGAAGGGGAGGAGGGAGAGTAGGGGGAGGGGGAAGAGGAGAGGAGGGGGAGGGGAGGGGAGAGGGAGGGATCTGCCTGGTATTTACAGAACGTTGTATTTACAG